GGTAAAAAGGCCTGTAACCGGGCGAAAGGCAATCTTAAAGCCTTTATGAAGAACCACAGTCCCCATCTTCCCTCGCTCCAGATTAAGATTCTAGAGAGGGATGGCTTTCTTGTTCACCAACGCAACCCCACTGAACAGCCACCTCTGAGCTTTTCCCAGTTGGCTTGTTGCTGCTTGAGTCATAAGACCTGAGGGAGGAGGAAGGGCACTTCAGAACACCAGTGCCGCCCCAGCGAGGGCCAGCAGATTTCTGCCTTCTGATCTTCCCCAGCTCACCCAAATCCAGTTTCTTAATAATCCAAATGACAGCTTAACACTAGCTCAGATTTTCTTAGATGAAAGTTCTGGCTGGGGCAGGAGTTAAATTGTCAGGATCATAATAATCATCTGTTGTTGTTGTTATGTGCCGTCGAGTCGCCTGCGACTCATAGCGACCCTGTGTACAACAGCCCTAAACTCCGCTCTGTCCTGTGCCAATCGCCACTGTCTCTGACACTCCCATCCCAATTATCCCAGTCACTGAATCAATCCACCTCATAGAGGGCCTTCCTCTCCTGTGCTGTCCCTCCACCCTCCCCAGCATGATGTCCTTCTCCATGGACCGGTCTCTCCTCACAACATGTCCAAAGTATGTTAGACGGAGCCTCAGAATCCTTGCCTCCAAGGAGCCGCCTGGTTTAAAAAAATGCCACACAGACTTTGCGTAAAATAAGAGGGCTGCTGGTTGGTTGTAAGGCTGCGTTAATAATGTAAACGTGGTACAATCTAGTCCCTCAGACATTTATCCAGGGCCCTTGGCCAGGACAGCAGGAAGTGCTGGGGGCTGAGGGACACGGCTGCAGATGGGATACAAATGTTTACAGTGACCCCACTCTGGGGTAACTGGGGCCAAAAGTCCAGGGCTGATGAATGTTATCTGTCTGCACACGTTCCCCAGGCCCGGAAGCTCTAGCCACCTCCTTCCTTATTTTTAGACTCGGAAAATGTGAAGGATCCTCTGATAAGCCCGCACTGAGCAAGGTCTCTAACTGGGGGCTCCACCAAACTCTGCAGCCCAAGTCTGAGGGAGGTCTGTGTCTCGGAAAGTTCCATGAACCAAACAAGAGCTCCCACCGACGCTCTCTACCACATCCTTATTTTTGGAATATGAAGGCTATTAAAACTTTTCAGCTTCTCATGAGGAATGGCGGTGAAGAGGGGGAAAGGAAAGAAGCTAATAAGGCACTTGGCTTTTACGAAGTGTATTGTTATTGCTACGATTTCTGTCTCTGAGGCTGGAGACGGTGGTCATTGTGGTCAGCCCACCTCTCCTCCATCCCTGCCCTCTTTGTTCTCTGGTCACTGCAAACATCCCCATGGGCTGGTGGTCCAGAGAGAGCTGTGGGGTTGACCCAACGGCAGCCCCTTTCCGGCCATCTGACTCCATCAGCGGCTCTGAGGGAGAAAGATGGGCAATCTCCTCGCATGCAGTGGACAGCTGCTGAAAACCCACTGAAGGAGTGGCCGGCTAGTGGGTAACTGGTTCTGATTCAAGGGCAGTGAGTCTGAGGTGCGTTTCTGTTTCTGAGAACAGGAGAGGCATCCACATGCAAGGACTGGGATTTGTTGTTTTCTTCCCAATACTTTTGATAATTTGTTCAAAATAGAAGGCAATCGGCCTCAGTTTACGTATTATGCGGATATTATCAAGGACACGATCTTTTTTTGGCATAAAAGAGATACAGGCCCCCAGTAGGTGAACAATTTACTGCCAAGGGGCCTAGAAAAACTGGACTTTACTGGAACCAAAATAAATGTTCAAAGTAATTCCTAGCTAGGCTCATGACCTGTAATGATTTTTCTGAGCGACTTTCAAAACACCATGCCAAAAAAAAAAAAAAAGGGGAAAAAATCAATAAACAATCATACTAGGTTACATGGAGGGGAGAGGAGGAAGTGGAGGTCAGAGGGAAAGCTGGTTATAAAAAGGACATTTAAAGCTGTGCATCGCAACCACTCTCGCCTTATCTTACAGAGGAGACTCCACTTGAAAGCAAATTAAATATATGAATGAAATGAACAGACCCATCTTCTCTGGGCCCCACCCCACGAAACACCTGTTCATCTTGCTTTACACAGAGATGTATGGACAATGAGGACACATCACCTGCACGCTCAGGGGACAAACAGTAGAGAAGGGTGCTCTGGACCAGCTGGGCTCCTGTACCCATCAAGGGTCTTATTCATACATAGAGGGTTGAGAGGAGAGAGAAAAGGGACCCCTATTCTCACCATGGATCAAAGAGACAATTTCCCCCTCGGCTAATTAGTACTAGGGCAGGGCACAGCCTTAGCCCCTTGCCCATGACCAGAGACGTAGGGGTCGGTCTGCAAAGATCCCCTGCGGCTCAGTTACAGGGTGGGGATCAAGTTCAAAACCAGGCTTCCTGGCGGCCCTGCCAGCCACCAGCATCATATTTTCCCACTGACGTCACCGCAGATGGTGGGGTGCTCCGATCTGGGCGTCAGCTTTTGGCACAGCCCTCCCACCAGCACTGGTGCGTCTCCGTGTCCTGTGGTGGAGCCCAGCATCCATGTGCAAACCTGGACGAGACAGAGCCTGCCGGGTCAGGTCTGGGGGTGGCGGCAAGCTTGGGTCTGAGAGCACAAACTCAAGCCGTATCAGACGGCAGCGCTGGGAAAGAGATCGGGATTTTTCTCCCTGTGGGCGCTCACAAGCTCCCTGCCAGAAAATGCACAGCCAATGCATACGAAGCCTTGTTCCCAAGGAGATGACGCAACACCAGCCTCTCCCTCCTCGTTTAAAAGAAAACGGAAAGCGTACAACAGGGGAGAAAAGAAAAGAAATATCTAAAGTCACAGGCAGGTAAAGACACTCTGGGAATAAGAAAAAAGGGGGTGTGGGCAGGTGGCTCAGATTCTCCCCGAAAAAAATCAATAAAACAGATTTAGACAATCATTCTGTGATCTTGTAGCAGGCAGGTTCATCGTGGGGCCAGCTTCCAAATCTGCCCTTTCAATTTCCCCTAGGAACCTCACAAAGCACCGAACCAGGACGTGTCTCCCAGCTCCAGAACCTCCCTCAGTCTGGGCAGGTGACTCTTGCGCCCTCCCCACAGCACCTGTCTTCCTCATCAAGACTCCCTGCTCTAAAATGCCAACCATTCACTGGAGGAAACCACAGGAGATGCGTCTACAACCTGATCCTAGGCCGTCTTCTCCCACCCACCGTACCACACCCCGGGTAATATCCACTCACCAGTCTCTCTCCAGAGAGGACCTCCAGCAGCTTGATGAGCATCCGGCCATCGCGCAGGTCCGTGTACAGGTCCGTGATCCGGCAGGACACACGGGCCAGGTGGGAGTTGACCCACTTGGTGAAGGTCTTCTTCTGCACTGCTTCACGTTCATCTGTAAGCAGAGGAGAGAGAGATCTTTAGTGGGACCGGCAGGGCCACAAGGCACAGGTCAGAGAGGGAACAGCAAGGCCGGACGCTGGTGATGCGTCCTCTTAGCGCATCTGAACCACTGTCGGCGCTTTGGAAACCAGAGCATCCTACACCCCTGGACATCCCGCCAGCAATGTACCCTTTCCTCCCGCTCACGGCATGTTCTCCCAACTCCGTAGGGGGCAGGGCATCACCACGGGGTCCTCAGTGTCCATAAGGCTGACATTTGCTGGCCATCTGCTACAGTTATTATCCCTGCCTGAGGAGCATGGGGCAAGCCCAGAGTCCACGAGCAGGGCCAAGACGGAGACGCTCAGGGGACAGGGAGAGGCTGCTGCTCTCAAGCACAAAGGATTAGGCATTAAAAATACCCCAGCGGGGATAAAGTCACTCATGACCTTGATCCGCTGTGGCCCTTTCACCTGCTCGGTCACGTGCCCGGCAGAGAGTACGGACTCGGGCAGAGAGCTGTGGGCAGACTCGGGGGTACAGGGACCCGGCCGGGGTCTCACAGACTTGTTCCTCAATTAGACGCGTGGACCACGACACCCTCACCGAATCTCACGATTCTCTGAGAAGGTTAAGTGCTGGTTTACGGTAAAAAATGCAACAACTGCCCATTAAAAGTCATTCAGGAAACAGTATGGAGTATTTCAAGCCTCGGAGATCAAGTTCTGCCCAACGCATGAAGGGAAAATCTCGATGCACCTGCCATGGACTTGTCCAGACCTTCAAGCCTCCTACCAACAGGTTCCAATTTTCTTGTTTCTGCAGATTGTTGTTAAGTAAAGGCTACTAAAGACCTTCTACAGCAACATGGATGTACCCTGGCCACCTGCCCCCACCCCCACCCCCAGGACCTCTGATTTCATTCTCTGCAGACCTCCCCTCCTGTCTGCAGTCATCTCCCTTTGAGCACAATGACCGCTCAGAGAACTGGAAGAATCAAGATCGAGTCCTTCCGGAACAAACGCAAACTAAACAGAAGGTTCATGCGTGGAGCCAGGAGAGAACACCAAGGATTTCTCCTGTACGACAACGTCACTTGATGAAATGACAGAACCACCCTTGCTGACTTGGGCTGGTGTCTGGTGGCCTCGGATGGCAGGCTCCCAGGCTGGGCCAGAGGGACAGCAAACTGGCAGGATATCGGAGAGGTGGGCCTGCTGAGACCTCCATCACCCCGCACCCCAGGCAGGGAGGTGGCACCCCCTCATCTGTGACTGCTGCCAACCTGGCAGGTGAGACAGCCGGACACTTGCCAAGATGCCCAGCCACCTGCTGCCCTGAGCGGCTCCTCCTCCTGGTCTCCCTGTGGGCACAGCCTTTCCAGGGGGGGGATGAAGGACTGCCCTTGGCAACAAGGGTCAAGCCCAAGTAGACAGAGGCCAAGGACCAAAAAAGGGTGGCATGGGGACAATCCAGATGGGTGGAAGCCAGGGGCTGGAGCTGGAGGAGGTGAAGAGGGGTGCATGTGTAATCGGGGGGAAGAGTTTCCCTCCAGGGGCTGGAAAGATCTGCAGTTAGAGAGAGGTGGCAGCTGCGAGTGTCGTGAATGTGCTAGGTATCACCGGACGGCTCGCTCTAAAATGATTAATTTCACGATCTGTCCATTTCACCCCAGTCGCCTTTCCTGGAGCGCAGAGCAGAGCTCGCTGTGGGTGGAGAAAGGAGCTGCTCTATTAACACAGGATGGATCACATGCATCATTCATCTCACAGGCATCTCCACAGACGACGAGGGCGGCTGGATCTTTGCCCTGGGCTTGGCCGAAGGACAGAGCGCACAGACAGACGGCGCGTCTCCCAGGGGCATCTCGGATGGCCTCTGCGGGCACCAAGCAGGTCCCGGTTCAAATACACTCACCGTCAACTATGACACTCATTTAAGTGCTATCCTGTACCGTGAAGTGCGTTTAATAAAGCCTTTGATGGCTGCTAGTGAAAGGTCTGAGGCACAAAGTCACCACCACACCCAGTCCATCAAGGGAACAAGATGAAAACCAAGGTCAGCCTGGATTAAGGCATTTCTAAACAAACAAGCACAGGGCGTGCTTCTCAGTCAGCTGTCACTCCTGGGTGAATCTCACATTAAGAAACAGCCCCGGCTCCTCTCAGGTTCAGAACAGGGTGTTAACAAGCTCTTTTACGAGGAGATCCCAAGGACTCGCTTCAAAGGACAGCAAATGGGATTCCGAACAAGAGCCTGTCCCCAAGGGTCCCAACTCCTCCCTGAGAATGGAATGACTATTCCCACAGACGCCACCCGTGGGGACAGACAGAGTAGAGCCGAGGAGGAAAAAAGCCAACCAAGGGCTCTCCGGAGCTGCAGAGGTCCATGGAGACCGGGGCGAAGTAAGAGAGGCTGAACAAGTGGACACAGCTTGCTGTCCCGTCCTCTCTTCCTGCTCTCCTGGTGGGTGAGGGGCAGGACTGGGCCTGCAAAGTGTCTGGACGGTCCCAGGTAACAGAAGGAGGGAGCTGTGGTGGCCCAGCAGTAAGGAGTTACCCTGTCAACCCAAAGGGACACAGTTTGAATCCATCCTCAGCTCCTTGGGAGGAAAATGGGGCAATCTCTTCCCGTGCGATAGACAGCCTTTGAAAACCCACTGCAGGGTGAGCTCTGAGTCGGTTCTAACTCAACAGTATCTCACAATAACAAAAACAGGTAACAAACGAGAGCCAGCAAGATCACGCCGGGTCCAGTAAGTTCCTCGGGTTCACACCACTGCTCTGCAAAAGGCAGGGAAGATGCTGACCGGGGAACCAAGCAGAATCAATCCACCGTGAAACTCTAGGGGCAGGAACTGGGCCCAATGGAGGGGAGCAAAACCCGCCAGGCCAGAGTAGCATGTCCTCTTACAATAGAGCTCCTGGGGAACAACAAACACTTCTGAAGCCGGAAGGCGGGGAAGGGAGGGCTGAGGGCAGGCATGTCCCCAGGGACCGGGTCCTTTGTTCCACCCTTCCTGGAAAGGCGCATGACATCAACTCTGAACTCCCAACCCAGCCGGCCTGAGACAGACCAGGTGTCCGAGGAGGAGAGAGAGGGCCCTGGCACAGACAGCAGAAGATGGTCCAGGGGCAAATTTCCAAGTCGCTGTCATGGAGCCCGGGCACGTGAGGTGGTGGGAGCAGCAATGGAAAGGGACATAGTCTATGGAGCCGCTGCAAGATGTGTGTGCAAATGTTAGTGCACACTTGTCTGCTGACTTAAAGGTTGTTCGTTCGAGTCATAAGTGAGGCCTGAACCCAGGCACTGAAAACCCTACAGGACACAGCTCTCTCACACTCTGACAGTCACCACAAGGTGGAATCATGGTGACACTGGTAACAGCTCCATGTGAAGAGGTCGGTTACACACACCAAAGGGTTCCACCCAAGGGCAACCTGGCTCCCCAGAGCATAGATGGCAGCGTGGGAGACCTTCCCGATTGCCACACTGGGGCCTTGCTGGCGTCCACCAGGGAAAGACCAGGGATGCGGCCAACTATCCTACAATGCACCCTCCGATGAAAACCTGTCTGGTCACAAGTGCCAAAGGTGCCAAAGCTGAGAAGTCCTAGTTTGGATATCCGGGGTCACTTAGAGCAGGTGCTCAGAGAGTTTAAGGTTGTGCCCCTTAGAGGACACGGAACTGGTCTCCCTCATGTTCCCGATTCTCTCTCTGCCCCAGTAAAGGTTTTTTGATGGCTCCGTATTGACTGAAGAGCAGCAGAAATTCCCTCACTTTCCCCTCAGGGTTCACCCACGCACCCTGGGGCACACCTCTTTTCAGAATGTACCTGCCTCTACAACGGAAGGAACAGTGGGCAGGGCACGGGCGGGCAGGTCTGGGTCAAAGTGGGCGTTTCTGTTCTGCTTGTAATAGCCATGGCCATATCAAGTCACACCCACATCTTCTTTCCAGGAGCAAGATGCCTAGATGCAGACAGGACCCCACCTGCCTCGCCCCACCCACAACGGCAGGTGGAGCCGTGAAGGAGCAGGTTCTACGGTTCTACGTGGGAACCGTTCAGCAGCGGGTCCTCCCTTCCCAGGACTGTCCTGTACCCCCCCCACCCGTGTACTGAGACCAGGTACCGCACACACCAAGGTTTCCTCCTGTCATAATCACTCATTAACTAGGCTCCTTCTCTTTCCCAGCAAATGGGCATTCCCATCAATTCAACTAAAACTCAAGCCATCTGAGAAACGTCCAAGGAGCCCCATAATATCAGGGTCCAATGAGCCTCTAAAACGTCACTGCAAGCGAGTCAACTCTGACTCACGGTGACCCCACAAGGTTCCCGAGGCTGTAACCCTGACGGGGGGATGGGGGTTGGACGCCTTCTGTCTCCTGTGGAGCAGCTGGGGGATTAGAAGCCCTCACACTGCATCAGCAAATGAATCTTAAACGCAGACCCACCAGCGATCCTTCCTGACACTTGAGAATCCATGTTCTCCACAAAAGCAAAAACTACCTTCACAACATGCCGAAGAAACTCCTCATAAAATCCCTTGACAGGCTGAAAAGATGTCGTGGCCAGTGAGAAGGGCTGATAAGAAATGAAAACAACAACAACAACAAACACCCCTGTCCTCAGCCACACCCACATCAGCTTCTGACTCCTGACAGAGCGAATGACAAGGGCAACCCCACCATGGTGCTCCTTCTTGAAAATCCTTACAAGCATCTAAACAGCGATCCACACTTCCTCAGACTCACTAGACCCACAGCATGTCTGCCAGACGAGCACCCTGTGCAGAAGATCCTGGTTCCCTGAGGGACAAGGCGGCCAGGTCACCCTTGGACAGTGGCTGGACTGGCATGTGGGAGGCTCGTGGACGTTGCTCTTTTGGTCTGACTCCTCTCCTCTTCAGAGACAGACAGGAGGGATGAGAGGCTGTAAGTGCACAGTGCCAACCTCTCCTCCGGGTGCCCTTTAGTATTTGATTTTTGATAAGTTGAAATTTTCTGAAA